TCAGACATTATTGGATTCCTGTCGAAGAAAAACAATCAACAGTTTTTTGAATCTTTAAACTACAAGTAAGAGAATATCATGGTGATCAAGAAGTAAGTAAAGAAAATAACAAATGTCTTGAAGAATATTTAGGATCATAAATTTTATAAAGATGACTATTCTCAAGAAACATTTGAAAAGGAAAGAGCGAATCTGATCAAGAGGATAAAGGAAAACAAAGGGATAACATATTTCATCAAATTTTTAGTACGACTAACAAGAATAGATGAAAAATTTATTCAATGTGGATCAAATGGACTTAGTTTATTAGTGGCCATGAAGGTAGATATAAGGTACCAATCCTTTGAGAATATCAGAATAAAGAATACATCTATAATTGGAGGAAACTTTGTACGATGTAATTTTAATGGATCAGAATTTAAGAATGTTGATATTAGCGGAGTCAATTTTAATGGAGCTTAGATGTTCAATTGTAAATGGAAGAACATTAAAGTCCATGAATTGAATAAGTTGGATGGCCATAGTAGTTATGTTAGATCAGTTTGTTTCTCTCCAGATGGAAATACATTAGCTTCTGGTAGTAATGATAACTCTATCCGCCTATGGGATGTAAAGACAGGATAAGAAATTAAATCATCTGATAAAAACTACAAAGATATTCTTGCATAATTTAAAATACCACTTTAGAATAGCTCATTATTACCAAATGATATTTGTTATTTATTATTATTTATTTGAGCCAGATCGTACAATACTTAGGATTTGTTAGAATCCTTTATTAGAAGCACAAGGAACACTTATCTTATAAGGAGAATTCATCAACCATTAAGGGAAATATTTAAAACCTTTTTTTAAATCTAAAGGAGGTTGCCTTTTGGAAACTATAAAAAACTTTGACATAAAGAAAAAAGAAGATTGTATTGTATATTGAAATTTATTGAATATTATTTTTTTTTCAGGATTTTTTAAAGTAATTCTAAATTTATTCAATATTTTATGTAAACATCATTCTCATATTAAAACCGATAGCCATTACTGTTTCGACGATTTATTAAATTTGACTTTTTCATTTAGTATATGAAATATCAAAAAAGTGAAATTTTATAAGATCATCTAACAAATATTGGTATAAATAGTTTTATAATTGTAAAAGATAAATTTAATATCAATAAATTATAAAGAAAAAAATATGTCAAGAATTTAACAATTTGGTTGGATGATTTTTAATATTGAAAGTAACGTACAAATCACCATTGATGATTATTCTTCTATCGATATTAAAAGTATGAGACATTATAAAAGACTGAAAAGGTATATTAATCATCAAAAAGTTGTATATTTTTTGAAATTATTAAGATTTATAGAGATAGTTATATCTTCCCTAACACCCAACTAACAATCTGAATTACTGATTAACTTACATGAATTTTTACATAAATCAAATAATAATCGTTTATAAATTATTGAGATTATGTACACAGTTTTTTATAGTGTCAAAACAATATAATCTCTGTTAACTTCAAGACGATTTTAACTAAATTTATTAATATAGACAAAAAATATCCCTCATTTCTTAGCTTATACAAACTGTATTCTTTAGATGAACTCATGAAATTAATTCATTTAGAAATTAAGTAAAATTTATATTCAATCACCTAAAGATTGAAGCAGAAAAAAGGAATCAATGATTAATGATTGGTATTCTTTTTCAAATTCATAATTGAAAGCGTTAAAATAATTAAATTTTTCGTTTCCAAAAAGGACATTAAACCCCTTCAATATTATATTAATTAGATAAGACACTTATCGAATAAACTAAATAAAATAGCAGGAAATTAATGATATTATTATGTACATTTAAGTGTATTGTTGTGATTAAGACGTTATAACTCATCACTTATTTAATAATGCTTTTAATTTTTCATGGGTTTTATTAATTCAGGGTTATAATATTTTTCAGTTCTTATTTAAAAAAAGTTAGTTTTAAAACATGATTTAGAGTTAAAATTTATTATTATAAAATTATTTGGAATTTCATTTTGGTTTTTGGTTAACTTTACAGTTAGCAATTCAATTTCAAAGAATTCTTAAAATAGGCTTATTTTGCTTAAAGTCTAGATAAAAAATATTTTATTGTCTATTTATATTTAGATACAGTATTAAGATCAGGAATATTAGAAACCCACATTAAAAATTTAGCGGCAAAAAATTTAAATATTAAGTGGAAAAAATTTGAATTTGGTTTCCTGAAAAAGGGAATAAGGAGTATTTAAACTAAGTTGTAATTCGGCATCTTAATATACTCTCAATTGCTTTTATTTTTTGAGTGATCATCCATTAATAAATTGGATAGTAGTTATTCATTTATTTTTAATCGCCTCTAATAATAATTAACAGAATATCAAAGATATCATCTAATTCTTGACTAGGGACCAGGGATCCAAAAGTTGTATTTTTCTGCTTTCAAATAGTATAAAAGCGAAATATATTTTTTTAATCAAATATTTGATATTTATTCAGGTGTGGAATCCCATAAATTTTATTAATTATTTTATAAAAAAAATTTGGATACATTTCAGAAATGAGCAAAAAAAATTCCAAGAATCTAGGTATAAATATCAAATGGAATTGTTTTTAGGAGTTTAAAATTACTTACAGAACAGAAGAAGCATTAGTAGTTTAATAATGCTTTGGATCTATGCCCTCAATTTGGCGAAGCCTACACTTTAAGAAGTTCAAAGTTTAAAAAATCCATTTATAAAATGATATGAAAAAATAAAATTATATGTGGAAAATGTAAATTAGAATGCTGAAAGCTATTATTAAAGAGGTATCTTAACATTTAAGGAACAATTTATAGGAAAAAATAATTATTTGATCTAACTTTATAAGATTATATGAAGTGTGTTTAGATTAATCCAAAATTTGCAAAGTGTTATAGTAGAATGGGTAATAAAATACTCATAATGCATAGGCACTGTTATGAGCGATTTATAATAACAGGATGTTGCGCTCTAAAATTCTAATTAGTATAGAAAATGATGGGAACTGCATTTATGTTTAGAAGTAATGTAAAATTCATATTTTTAGCTTGGTATAATTAAAATGAACAAATGAATGATGATGCACTTAGAGATTTCAATTAAGCTTTAAAAATGAATCCAAAATATGCTTTAGCCTATAATTACAGAGGTGAATACTATTACACATAATATTTTAGCCATATTATTTAAAGATATTGGTGGCAAAGATAAAGAATTAAGTGACTATTAACAAGGATTTTGTCTATCTCTTAATGATCCGTTGTTATTATGCAATTTGGGTGATTATTATTACATTCTTTCTGACCATACTTAATAAACTTTGAATGTTCTCAAAAGGCCTTAGATTCTTTATAGAGGTTAAAATAATCAGAAATGGTGAAATGACATTTAAACAAATAAAGTATTAATATCATAAAATCTAAAGATTGACATCCTAAAAAAATTAGATAAAGAAATTGAGCAATCTAAATATCTTTTCGAGAAGTTGCCAATCGAAAAGCCTTAATTAATCTAGGAAATTAAAAATCTTTGAATTAGATATATTAACAAATAATAACCAATACTTTTCCATCTATCAGAATTTATTTTTTCAATTAATTATTGTTTATAAAATTACTTTTAAATTCAAATGATAGGCATAAATTCATAAATCAAAAAAAATTAGTTTGACACAAGTTATAAAATAATCTTAAGACAAAAATAATAGAAGTTCCAACTGATTAATAGGATTAATTTAGCAACATTCTCAACCATTAATTA